AGCTGACACCAGCTGCCTGCACCACGGCATGACACGGCGCAGCCCAGGAGCTGGAGTGAGCCCAGGAACGGGGGGACAGGTGGAGCACAATGCAGCCCAGCAGCTGCAGGCAGCTGGCACTGGCCACTCCTGGGGCCGCTGCAACTGCGGCTGGAGTAAGTGGGGCCACGGCCCTTTCCCCTCCGCCCACAGACTTATCTGCTTGGGGGGGCATCTATGCTGATCACATAACAGCGAATTTACCTCGCATATAATAAATCTTGGCTCTAAATATGCTCATCACTTAAGAGCGAATTCGTATATAAAGAACCCGCATAAATCAAGGAAAACCTGTACACTTCTAAACTAAGCTCCACGGGACAAGAATTCCTGTTTTTTTTTTTTTTGTTTTTTTTTTTGTGCCTCCAAACTTGCTGATGTGTGAATAACGTGTGTGTTTTGGTTTTTTTTGTTTAGTGTGGCACCATCGGAAAACCTACAATCCTTGATGGAGAAGAACCAGTCCCTAATGGAGGAAAATGAGAAACTGAGCCGAGGTCTGAGTGAGGCTGCAGGTCAGACAGCCCAGATGTTGGAGAGAATCATTATGGTAAGGTTTAGTCATCTGAGAAGAACTTTTATGTGGGTAACAGCTTCCTACCAGCTGGAGTGACAGTTCTACAGGACACTAATTTTGTTCTTGAACACATGGCTCTGTTCCTTCCTCAGAAGTTCAAAATTTAGGATGTTGGGGTACAGCACTCTAAGTTCAAGGCCTGTAGATCCTGGGATTGAATGTGGTAGAACTGGATTGACCTCCTTTTTGAAAATGATTTTACCTATGGTGCTACTTACTGAATGCCATTGTGAGTCGGTACATCTTGACTCCTGGTGGTCTATTTTCCTTCAGTGTCAGTCTTGCTGAATGATGTGGAATATTTCTTGGGGATGATACAAATTTATCTTGCTTGTCCCTCTTCTAGCACTTCATAGGTGCTGCTGTTCCTGCTGGTTTGGAAAGAAAGCCCAAACTGGTGTCCTGTCTCAAGGGATCTTTTCCTCCTTGATCAGTTCAGAAACATTCCAATTCAGTACAATATGAGGAAGCTCCTATTCTTCTAGAGGGGTTCCCGTTTCTTGTCCTACATTGCTGAAAACTGGGTGTCTCCTTACTTTCAGACAGAACAAGAAAATGAAAAGATGAGCGCCAAACTTGAGGAACTCAGACAGCATGATGCGTAAGTCCCTTTTTGTCTTGTATCCTTGCTTGCATTGCAGCAGAATCCTACAGTAGTTGTTTGGGTGGGAAGACCTGGATCGGGGCTTTGTATTTGTTAGTCCAAAGCCCATTTGTATGGAGGAAAGGGAGAGAATTTGACAAACAGCTCAACAGGAGCAATACCAATAGATTGCCAGGTAAGATCTGTGGACTTGTGTCTGAATTTCAGGTGCAAACTTGATCTGGAGAAACTGATAGAGACTCTAGAGGATCAGGAGCTCAAAGAGAACGTAGAAGTCATTCGAAACTTGCAGCAAGTAATAGTACAATTGCAGGTAAGAACTGACCTAGGGAACATAGTGGGATGCCTCTGTCAAAAGAGCTCTTTGATCCCTGGTACTAATATTCTGCCAGTTTCTGAAGCAGTGGTTTCTTGTATGCTGAGGTCTTATCTGCAGGGGTCTGGATATTAGATTTTGGCTGAATTTTTGTGTTCAAATGGTAGCTTACTCCACAGTAACTTGCTGGTCTTGCTTAACAGCGTGTCATGGCGAAAGACAGCTCTTCATGTTCTTCCTCCCTGGAAACTCCTGAAGCTTCCAGTGACTCAGTAGGGAACTTAGTAGCCAAGTTTGTGTCATGCAGAAAGGAAGTTAGGGTGCAACTTGCCTAGTCAGTTGAGATGTTCCAAATCTAACTGTGGTGAAATGGGAGGTCTATAATCTCTCTCTCCTTTCAAAAGTAGCCTTTTCAGGGCAGCAGTAGATTTAGGAGGACCACAGTTGGCTTCATATCTGGTTCAAGGAGCCCTTGTTAACTGCACTTCGTCTCTCTGGCATGTACTGTACACTGAAGTTCTCCATTTTACCCTGTGCAGGATGAAAGTGCTGCTTGTGTGGCATCCATGGAAGCCACTGCAGAGATGGGAAACTCAGAACCAGAGGCAGAAGCTGTAAGTAGCCTAATGCAGCAAGTCTCTTGCAGTAGTTCAACAAGAGCATCCTTGCTTCTTTTTTCATAATTGCATATTTCTGATGATTAATTGCTATTTGCAGTCTTTCCTTTCTTCTCTTCTGTGCTTTTTCCTGGGTACTTTAAAAATAGTTTCTCACTGCAGGGGGAAAGAGGAGTGGTTGGAAATTGTTGGAATGCAACACAGTTCAGTTCTAAGTCAGAGTTTACCCCTACAATCCATTGCGTATTCCTTGAAGCCAGCTCTCTGGCTAACAGTTGTCTTCTCTTTTTCAGCCAACAGAAACAGGCCAAGACTTCAAGAGATCTTCAGGTGACTTCACCACTCAGCATGCCTTGCGCCAGGCACAGATGTCCAAAGAGCTGATTGAACTGAACAAAGCCCTGGCTCTGAAAGAGGCGCTGGCCAAGAAAATAACACAGAGTGACAGCCAGCTGGAGCCTATCCAGTCCCAATACCAGGTATGCCCAATGCACATCCTAGTTCAGTGGTCTCCAGCTTTTTAGTAAGAAATCACCTTTTTGCATTTAAAAGCAACCCAAGGCCTACTTTGCACTGTTGCTACCCCTCTTCCCTTCTTCCCGGCTCACCCCCCCAGCAGGTAAGTCTGTGGGGAGGGAAGGGGGGGTCAGGTCAAGGCAGAGGGAGAGAAAATTATTTGGGGGCACATCTCCCCAGCAGATAAGTCCCACCCAGCTCTGGCCCCACTCAACTTACCCCTACGTCTGCCTCTGGAACTGTCCCACACCATGGGAGCCTCAATCTAGCCCTGCCCCTTCCCTCCACCACAGACTGACCTGCTGGGCTGGGGCAGATGCGTGTGTGTACGTGGGCACTCAGTCCCCCACCCCACCCTTGGATTGACTCCAAGAGATTCCAAGATCTACCGGTGGATCAAGATCTACTGGTTGGTAACCACTGTCCTAGCTCATCTACATTTTTCCTCCTACTTAGAGGAAAACGAATTCCTCAGAGGAGCATTCTTATTCTGGTTCTCATAGCCAAGAAAGCACATTTGCTTCAGTTGTGGCAGTGAGCACAGACTATCCCATAACAGAGGTACTCTGCAGTGGCTGTTGCTGGCAGATATCTATGACTTAATGATGGAACTAAGTGCCTGACGTGACCAGATAGTGGAATTTTGGGACTTGTAATTAGAAACTGTTTGTTCCTGTCCATTTTCTAGACTAACATCAAGAGCCTGGAGTCAGAGGTCAGTAGCCTGCAAAAAGAGAAGGAAGACTTGATCCTCACGCTTCACATGGCAAAAAAAGATATCAACCAAGCCAAGTAAGTGTGGTGCGTGGCCCAGTGAACTAGCGAGCAATTCCAGTCAGTGGTATTATGTCTGGTCACTGCTGCCCATGATGATTCTTCTGGCAGAGTAGTCAGTTCTGTGTTGCTTATCTGACCTAGTGCCTCAGGGGGGAAATAAGGTAGCTTACTCTTCTTTGGCCACAAGTGACTGTCCTTGCTTTGCTACATGAGGAACGGAATAAAGAAATTGCATCCTTGCTCTTCTAAGATTACAGGGCTCTGGAGAATCTGAACCTTGACTTTTTTCTTCAGTGACTTCCTCAGTTCAGAGTAGCAAAAAAAAAAAAATGATGGAACGCCATAGGTTGGCAAAAGAGTTGGCATAATGGAGTAGAAGAGTTTCTTCTAGGCCCTTGGGACTGCTTGGGGTTGGAGTAGAAACTGTTCCAAAGGAATAAGTGCATTTAATTTTTTTCTCTTAAGGAATCTCTTCTTACCCAGTGGTTGTGTAGAGCTGCAGCAAAAAGGAGCCCTTCAAACAAAGGCCTGGGAAAGAAAGCCAGGGAACTTCTGAGCTCTGTTACTGGCTCTGACCCTGGCCAGTCTGAGCTTTTTTTCCTGGCCTTGGTTTTCCCTGTCATTAAAACTGGGGTAATAATTGTTCGCAGGGGAAATGTTTCAAGTCCCATAGGGTAGTGGTAGGGCCCCTGAGGAATTGATGAACACAGACTCCCATTCAATGACAGTCGTAGCCCTGAGCTCAGCTCCCTTCAGATAACGTTCTTGGCTTTTGTGGGGCTGTATGAGGACTGCTTCATTTGGATATAATTAATCTTCATAAATGTGTGCCTTAAACTTCCTAGCTCCTGTTGTTTAATCTGCCATCTGTGTTGAATGAGTTGATGGACATTTAAACTGCTACTTGCAGATTTGGGAAGAATTTACTCTACTCTACAATAGCCCTGCTAACTCTTTCTTTGCAGGTTGAGCGAGCGCCGTAGGAAAAGGCTCCAGGAATTGGAAGGGCAAATCAATGAGCTGAAAAAGAAGCTGAGTGAGCAGTCAAAGCTCTTGAAACTGAAGGAATCTACAGAACACACAGTCTCTAAACTGAACCAGGAGATACGGGTATCTGATGATATATACATCACCTTTTATGCTTGATTTAATGGAGCTTTGGGTCAGGTGGTGCAGAAAGCTTCTATTTTTTTTCTAGCGTGAGAATGTGATTTTTATTATACTTGTATACACCTGGAGATCCTTGCAAAGCTAGCACTGTGTGTAGGCAGAGTGCTCTAGTGTTTCCTCTTCCAAGAGTGCTTGAAAAACTATCTAGAACATTTAGTCTCAGAAAAAAATCTGCTTCTTTTACTTCAGGCAATGAAAAATCAGCGGGTGCAGCTGATGCGTCAAATGAAAGAAGATGCTGAGAAATTTAGGCAGTGGAAATTACAGAAGGACAAAGAAGTGATCCAACTAAAAGAAAGGGTGAGCAAGCTATTAGTCCTCTAAACTGTGCTGATTCCCTCCCTCTATCCTGTGTCCTACCTATAGGCTGGACATATGATTCACTGAGGAGTTTGTTACCAAATGCTGCTTGGTTTACAAAGGGAGCATTAGAAACAATGTTTTGGCGCTGCATAACAACATGCCCCCTGGGTCAAAAAGCTTTTATTCCCTGAACATGTCTCAGTGGTAGGCTGCCATGTTTAGCCTGATATGTGCTTCACAAATGGACTAATAACTTGTCTGTGAGGCTGACATAGCTCAGATCTAAAGTAGAAGGCAAAAGTTTCATGAGTACTGAAGCAGTGGGTTTTATTGACTGCAAAATGAAAGAATGCACGTTAAGAATAACTTCACTTGCATGATGCACACTAATTCAGTTAAGTGGTCACAGCTTTCATGTAATGTGGCCTTTACTTCTTGAGTTTGCCTAAAGCTCAAGGCTTCTGAATTGTGAGCCGAGTGATTCAGCAAAGAGTCAAAAGATGTATTGAGCCATGTTTTAGAAGAATACAGGCCACTTCCAGTTACTAGAATGGACAAGCTTACAACAGTCATGGGTTCTATTGTAGAGCACTTGAGAGATTTTTTTTTTTCCACTTACCACCTAGCTTAGGGTTGCATTGGAGGTTTTCACCCTGCAAGGAGTCTCAGGTTTTTCGTTTTTGGTTTTTTTTTTAATCTGCTTGCTCATTCAGGATCGCAAGAGGCAGTATGAAATGCTGAAACTAGAGCGAGACTTCCAGAAACAGGCGAATGTCCTGAGGCGCAAAACAGAAGAGGTAAGGAGCCACCAGTGGCAAGGGGGGTTGTGATTCCTCTCTGAGGTCTGTGAGATGTACTTGGAGGTGGTAGTAATGGCACAGGTGAAGATATTTTAAATGGCTTTTAAAAACCAGGTTGGAGGCCTGGAAATCAATTATCCTTTCCCCTATAAGGCAGGATGCATTGTGTGCTTTTTCTCTTAACTTTTGGTGATTTCTTATTCTTGCCAGTGACTATTTTGGAACCAATCCTTTTTAACAGCAGTTACTCACTGCTCCATCCAATAGGGAGATGAGCAGAGTAGCTGGACCCTTGTCAGACTTTTCTTACTACTACCATGGTATGATCATGACCAGTAGCAATCACAAGAAGGTGTGAAGAGCTGCATTTGATCTGCATGTAGTCTAAATAACAAGTCGATTAGAAATGGGAGCAAGGAAGCCTGTAACCTCCTAAAATCGGTGTTTTGAGGGATCTTCCTCCTTCAGCTGTTTACTTGGTTACTTCCAAGAGTGGGCTGCACTCAGGTTTCCTTCATGCTCGGTTCTCATCTACATCCTTTTGAGTGTCCCCTAGGTGTATTGGATATCATCAGCACTATGATGGTCCCATTTACATAATCTTGCAAAAACAGCTACTCTACATTAAGCCATTGCTTGTGCTAAAGAACTGTTGCTAAAAGTAACGGTAGGTTTTGCTGTGCAAAACCCACAGGTTTTCCTGTGCTTCTTAGCGCCACAAAGTCGTGCTTCTAAAGCGGGGAATCCAGCAGTGGCAGAGCAAGCAGCTTGACACACTGCTGTTCCATTAGAATGTAATGGGGGGAGGCAATGGTTATTTTCAGCTCTTGTATAAAATGTCTTTTAGGCAGCAGCTGCTAACAAGCGTCTGAAGGACGCTCTACAAAAACAGAAAGATGCTGTGGATAAGCGGAAAGAGAGCCAAAACCGAGGGATGGAAGGAATTGCAGCTCGAGTAAAAGTGGGTAACTGGCAGCACATTTCCTTTTTTACTTTGCACCTCTTTGGATAAAGTGAGATCAGTATGGGTCGTGCTAGCTTATTTGGGGAAGATGAGGAAGAGGGGTGGCTGCAAGAACAGAAGGACCGTGGAATTTGCCTTGAGGAACAAGCGGAGGCAATTTGGTTTGTCACCCTAAATTGTTGTGGATTAGTTGTTGGAGGGAGGGTCAGGGGAGGTGCATATGGCTGAAGGTCCAATCTTGTGCCATCCAGGTGCTCTTGTCATCCTGTCTTTTCCTTCAGAGTTGGCTTGTAAATGAAGTGGAGGTTTTGGTTAGCACTGAAGAGGCTCGGCGCCACCTTGCTGGCCTTCTGGAGGATAGGAAGATCTTGGCTGAGGACCTTCTTCAGCTTAAAAAGAAGAAAGAAACTGGGGAGAACCCACCTTTAAAACTCCGGGTGAGTGGCTGAGGAAATGACACAACTCTCACTGAGGCCATGCCTGAGAGCCCTGTAATCCATTCCCATCCCCTTCTGAGCATGGGAATGTTGTGGAGGAGATTTTTGCTAGAGGAGATTAATATTCTTGGAACTCTTGGTTGATGGAGGAATGAAAGTGAAGGGTAAAGGTGTCAGGACAAGGGAGGTGGGGGGAGGGAAGACTGGATATTTTGTAGTCCCATTTCATAAAGCAAGTAGCCCTGCATAAGATGGTAGTAGGCTGCTGCTTTTAGTGATGGCTTTGTTATAATTCTTTGACTGGCAAAGGAATGGACATCTGAGCTGTGCAGGACTGCTTGTAAAGCTCTTCTCTGGAAATGTTGCTTCTCCTTCAGTGTTGAAATGGTCACAGTGAAACTCTCTAGCAAATGGCTTGTTATCCTTCCTTTTCCTTTTTCAACTTACTTTATGCCTTTATTCCTGTGATTTTTTTTTTTGATTTTTTTTTTTTTCTCTCCAGAGACGTACATACTCAGTGACAGATATACAGGCTTCAGAAACTGACCAGTCTGTATCAAAGCAAATAGAGAGCCTGGAAACGGAGATGGAGCTTAGGTAATGGAGCACAGTGAAACTTTTCTACATCCACTTTTCTAGCACACAGTCCAAGGTCCCTTCATTTATTGCCATTCTGGAGTGTGGGAGGACAAAAGCACATAATGGTGAACGTGCAGAATAAGGTAACTGTTTCCTGAGCTAGAATGTTCTCAGAGGCTGGGGCCAGGAACACCACTTGGGTGAGAACGTCAAGTGTTGAGCATTGCAGCTAAGTAAGGAGCAATGTAGTAATTACTGATGCAGTTCTGGGGCACTGGCAATGTAAACTGGAAGATTTAGAATTTCTTGTTCAGCCCCCAGCTAGCTTTCCAGGCCCTGCCACCCACACTTAGTAACCAAAGTCTAATTCTGAGCTACTTCTTGTAACATCTTGCAATAATTTCATTCCAACATCTTTTTGGGGGGTGTTTCTGGTCTCTCCTTGGAGAATCAGTAATAAGCTCAATATCCCATCCTCTTCTAAAGGAGTGCTCAGATAGCTGATCTGCAGCAGAAGCTGTTGGATGCGGACAGTGGAGACCGGGTGAAGCAGCGCTGGGAGAACATTGCAACTATTCCTGAGGCAAAGTTTGCTGTGAAATATCTTATTGGAGAGGTAAAATTTCCTCCATCAAATACACCCTGGGACATCTTTATGCTGCAGTCATATTGAGCTGTAGAACTGTTTGGCTTAAAGAGCAAAATCCCTCATGAGGAGAGAAGTGGTGAGCATGCTATTGCCCCCAAGTGGATGAAGACCATAGGGGTTCTGCGTCTAGCTTGATGTTACACTTCACCGAAGCCAGTTATGAGAAGCCTAAAGAAAAGGGAGAGGTTAAATGCATAGGAGGTCAAGATTTGATACTCCTGGTGTAGGACATGAAAAAACAGGTCTGGGGCAAGGTGCAGATGAAGTGAATGAGAGAGAGAGATTTTCAATGAGCTGGAATTCCATGTGGGAGGTGTAGAGCGCCTAGGAGGACCTTCTAGGAAGAGCTGAATCTGGCTGTAAGTGCAAATGAGGCATGTGACTTTTGCAGAGTGAAGCATTAAAGGAAGACTACAGATTTCTCTTCAGTAATAAGCACATGATTAAAGCCTGGCTGTGCCTTTTAGGAAGTACATGGGTGGGTTTTAGAGAATTGAGCAGCAAAACTGACAATCTGGACAGGAGCAGAGAAACTAATTGGTCTCCTCTAGCAAAATATTCTGCTGTCATCTCTAGGTACCTAGGAAGTGAGATCCCTTTGAGAGTGGAAACGGGTATACCAGGTGGGATCTGGCCTGGAGACATGGTCTAAAGCTGCAGTGAGCTTGTATGGGGCCAGTGAGGATAGAGAGCAAAACCTACAGAGATGGCTGCTGAAAGGGAGGAGGAACTATAGACCAAGTCTTTAGGGCTTCTTTGGCTACTCTGAGGAGGAGGAGGAAATAAAACTAAGAAAGCAATCTCTAAGGATCAGGATAGTAACAGGGACAGTGGAGGAGGCCTAGAATTATGGGGAGGGGACCTGTAGGGAATAAAGGTGTGCAGGGCAGATGGCCGTTCAAAGGCTAATGGACAGAAGGATTGGAAGATTAGTGGTAATGCTGGCATGCTGACATGTGAAGCCAAAGCTGATTAAGGAGGGTCAGATGTTCTGAGAAGGCTGCTGGGGCTTCTCAGTCCTCCCAACCTCCATTTTCATAACAAAGGGTATGCAGGCCTGACACTGGCAGGGTGCCTTCATCGCTGAGGTCAGGTTCACCACAGGAGCTAATTTTAACTTTAACTAAACATACATCCTTCAGTCCACATCTTGTGGTCCTGTGTATGCTGTGAAGCATCTACTCTTCCCCCAGTAGTGTTCTTACCGGTGTCTTTCAGCTGGTCTCCTCCAAAGCTCAAGAAAGCAAACTGGAGAGCAGCCTGCAGCAGAGCAAAGCTAGCTGCTCAGACATGCAGAAGATGCTACTTGAAGATCAAAACCAGATGGCAGAGATGGAGGCAGAGTTCCAAAAGCAGCTGGTGATGCAGGAGCAACAGCATCAAGAAAAGGTGAATATTTCAGACTGAGGAGAAGACCAGGAGGGTTTATTGCATACTCCTGAGGCATTAAGCAAACTTCTATGAGCCATTCTTCATCAGGATTCCCGTATGTGCAGCTGGAAAGAAAAAGGAAGGACATGTTCTTAGTCACATCTGCTGTCCTGCATAGAAGAAGAGATTTTTTTCAGATTGAAAACCAACAAGGCAACTTTAATCCTGCATGTTTCCATTCTCTGGCAGCGTGGATCTGGGAGCTTAGTTCCTAGAAGGCTTGTCCATCTTCTGAATTCTCAGAAACAGCCCAGGGTAGTTTTAATAGTGTAAAAAGGTTTTCTTTTAAAAACAAACAAACCAGTGCTCTGCTTTAAAGGCATGTGATGTCTCTCTAGACTGTGGAACTATGTTACTGTCCAGATGGGACTCAGGCTGTTAGCAGTGGGGAGTGATCATTCTTTCTCTCCAGCAGCACCGGTGCGGCCCTGTGCTCCCGCCAAACTTGCTCCTTCCCCCACCCCGCTCCACACCGCCACCGCTTCCCCACTTTTCCTGCCTGCTGCCACAGTGCTTCAGCACCGTGTGGTTCCCAGTTTTATGGCTGCAACTGCAAGACTCAGCAGGAGACGACCCAGCCCCAAGGACTAGGGCAATCGTTTGCAGTCCCCTACTTCCCTACCTCCCCACCCCTTGCCCCCACGTTCCTGTCTGAATTTCCATCTGTGGTGCAGGGATCCAGGAACAGCCCCACAGTCCCAGACCAGAAGCCTCTGCAAAGCAGAGGCCTCTGGCTGGGGAAGGTGGCGGGGCAGGGCCAGGCAGGCCTTGCTGCTGGGTCCTGTCACCAGCTTCACCTGGGTCCTACTGTCCCTGGCTCCTGTCATCTTTGACAGGCAGCCATAAGCAGATAAATACTGATTTTTCTAAATTTTTTAGGGGCCCCATGAGCTGGATAGAATGGCCTGGCAGGCTGAATCCAGCCTGTGGGCCTTTTTTTGCCTGCCCCTGATCTATATATAGAGAGATGTATTCAGGATTCTTCTGTTAAAAGCATGTTCATCTCTCCCTTGTACTGTAGGTTCTATACCTGCTAAGCCAGTTGCAGCAGAAAGAAGCAGCAGAGAAAAAACTAGAAGACTCACTAACTGAACGTGAGCAACAGCTGCTGGAGCGACTCAAGTTCCAGGTAAAGTGGTGGGGTTTGGACTCTGTACAGCAGGCTGGTCCTCTTACCCCTAGAAGTGGCTTTTAGAATGGTTGAGGAGTAATGAAGATTAGCATGAAGGAATTTGACATTTCTGTGCTGTTTGAGTACAGAGGGAAGGAGTTGCAAGTAGTTGGTTAATACACTGAGGGAGTTGCACAAATGAAGTCAGCTATGGGGCGACCAGTGCTGGGTCAGCTTCTGAAGATGCTCTATTTGGAACAGAAGGCAAGTTTAAACCAGTGTTTTTTAGCCAAGGTGCCATGGCACCCTGGGGTATCTTGAGATCCTTTCAAGGGTCCTGTGGGGCATCATGCCCATTGTTAAGTGTGCTGACACAATTCACAAGACAAATTCAGAGATCTCAAATAACAATCCCTAGGTGTTAAAAACATTCTGACCTGTTATGGTCTTTCTGAGTTCTTTGCAACATAAAACATGCTCTATTTAAGTGAATGAAATGAGTGAAAACTATAAGCTAGCATTTTCATAGGGGCAAGTTGGCCAAATTAGCAAAGCAGAACTTTTCCAGGTCTTTGCAGGTTAGAACAGATGTGGTTGGGAGACAGTTATGTGACGATAAAAATGGCCCCCTTCTGGTGTTTGGGGTTAGAGAAGGTCAAGGGATAAGTTGATACTGAGGTTTGTGTTTCTCCTGTCTGTCTTTGAAGTAGAAGGTGGGATGCCTTGTCTGAACAGGAGAACAAAGGACTCCTTGGCAGCAGATGCAGACTCCTTCTGGGTTTCAGGGGAAAACCCTTTCTTTCCCCAACTAATTTTAGTGGTTCTGATCTCTGCCCTGCTAAAACCCAACACTAATAGTAAGGTTGTCCCTTCCTGTGAACAGGATGAAGAGATTGAGAAAATGAAGGAGATCTGTGAGAAGAACCAAGAACTCCTCCTGGATAATGAGGGCATGAAACAGGTAGATATGGGTGGGGGCACAGTTACACATGGACTAGGGAGCAGGGTTTGTCTAGTTCTCTCAGTGTCCTGCCCTCTCTTCAAACAGAAACTGCTGCTCCTTCAGCTAGCCAGCGGACAGAAGCTGCAAGACCTTCAGCGCATGCCAGCTCCGTCCCCAGGATCTCCCTTTGATTATATTCCACCCAAGGTAAAAGGTGCTGTGTGCAATTGTCATGCTTTTCCTTGGCTCTAAAAAGGTTGAAAACCACTTCTCTACGGTCTCAAATTTTCCTTCCACTTTTCACCCATAGCCCAAGACTCGCCGTCAGACAACAGCCAAACGCCGTGTGCCAACCCCAGAGTTGCATGTGGAAGAGCTGTTCTCTGAATCGGGGGCATCTGAAGAAGAAACGGAGGATAGGGAGGATGCGGAGTGGGTTCCCATAAAAATTGCCAAAGGAAAGAAAAGGAGCATCATGGGAGTATGATCCTGTTGCCTGTTTTTCACCCCCTTTCCCCCGCTCCCCCCCAGCCTCTGGGCCTTGGTTCCTTCATGGGCCACATACAGGTACAGCTGTACTGACCTGCTCAGGTGCAGGTTTCAATTAGACTTCTGAAACAGCCTCAGTTTTAAGCAAATGCTGTGGTTGGTCTTGTGAGCCTTTGGCAGAGAAGGCAAGAGAGATGCCTTCAATGGCTTTTTCCAGAGGGCTTGTTATAGTCAGGACCCCCTGAAAAGGTATAGATAAAAGGGACAACCTGATCAACCTTTTGCTGGCACAGGCCACCTTTTGCAACCCAGCTGTGGGCCACAGGGGCAGAGCAGCTCAGCTCCTTGCCATTGATTTAGTCCAGCCTATTGCCTACCAGCCTTCAGAGGATGACTGGTATGGTAAAAGGAGACCTTTGCTTGCTGTATGTTTGTAATGGGTCATGCTAAGCTTGATTCTTCATGAAATGGGAGCTCCAGGCTTCCTCACTTTTTTACAGGTGAGGTCAGCATGGAAGTACCATGGCTTGGCGTCAAAGAAAGGCATGTTACTCTCTGAACTCATGCTTAAACCCACTAATCACATGGGTTTGTGACATCTACTACATGCAAGTAGAATTGTCCAGCAAACTTATTCAAGCAGTATCAAACCCAGGGTGCATATGGGGCCAACCACAGGAGACCGCTGCTGGGCAAACCGAACTTGCTGTCTTCGGCAAGCGTGAGAAAATAGGTCTCTGCTGCAATATAGTACCTGCTGCCACACGGACCATACCAAAGGGCCTCTGGTTGCTGCATCCCTTGTGGCAGTAGACATCTGGAGACTGGCTGGGAACAGCAGAACATTCATTCTCGATCATATCTTATTACTAGTGCTCCTGCAAGGGCCGATGCGGAAACAAGCAGTGCAGCTGCAGGAGGCAGAAGGCAAGCTGCAAGGAAGGTTGTAACTGTGATCCTGCCAGATGTAGAAATCGGGAGCCTGGGTTTTTGGTGAGCGACATCAGAATTTTCTCCCATTTGAGTTTCATCTGAATGTTTAACTCTACGTGCTGGCTTCAGAAAGACATGTGGCCCTGAGCAGTTACAGGTGCCTGCGTGTACAAATACTTTTAACCAGAGTCAGATGGTAGGTGCAAGATGCTCAGATTTTGGTGGTCAGATCTCTGTCTAGTTCTTGTTGCTAAGGCAGCGAGCTACGTGGTTCTTTGCCTGGCATGCTAGTCTCTAGGATTTGATGACACAAACCCTATTTTGGGTTCACCTCTTGCTACCTGTCAGCTGTCTGAGGTGTTTTTTTTGATAAGTAAATGAGTACCTTTTGGCATCTGGTGAGCTTAGGCCTGCCATAGTACCAGCATGAATGACATTTTATTTTTGCTACATTTAGAATATTTGAAAGTCCCACACTCCTTTGCATTGGACTGTAGCATGCGCTTGGGCTTGGGGAAGACTCTGCTTCAAGTCTTGGAGGCTGGTTCTTTGGGAGGGGACAATGCTGATCTTGTTCAGACTTTTTTGCACACCTCTACTGACCACTTTCTATTGGAGAAAGCTGGGTGCTCCCATTAATGCTCTGGAGCAGTTGCTTGCTGGGAAGGGAGAAGACGATTGCTAGAGGTCTCTTAAGTGTTTCCTGAATGACTTGCTTACAGGATAGATGTGTGTAACCTTAATGTGCATGTTGTGCAGGGTGAGATCAGCGAGGACCAAACAAGCAATTCCGAAGGATCCTTCAAACTGGAAGACTCCACTGTAGTAGCTGTTGGGAAGGCCACCTTCTTTCAGCCTGTTTGTGTCGCTCCAACTACAAAGGCAAGAGCTAGAGGCTAGAAATAACGAGCAGTTGCCTGGTGTAGAATCCCAAAGTGCATAGACTTAAACTGCAAAGTAGAAAGCCTGTGTTTTAAATATCAAAACTGTAGTTTATTTCCCTCTTGTACCTGAGCTCTCTATTAGAATGCAACACATTCTCATTGGTTGGCATAACTGAAGAAGGCAATGGAGACAGAGAAATAAAGCCTCAGCATGAGATCTGCCATCCCCACTGGCTACCTAAGAGGGTGTGTTGGGAAGGCAAGGGCTGATTTTTTAGCAAGTTTTGAACTTATATTTGTTAGAATGTCAATAATTTAAACACAGGTGGTTTGGTAGAAAAGGTGCATGTGTCCCAATTCTAAAATTTTTCTTGAGGTGGATGCAGGGTGTTTGTTGGTCACTGTACCTGCTGCCACAGTACCTGGGTCTTGTGCAAGGACAGGTTCTTATTTCAGAAAGTCATCTCATGTACTGTTTGTAGGTTGACCTCCAGAGTCAGATGATTTTGCCCTTTTCTTTGGAGGAAACAGTGTGGTCCTTGACAAAGGTTTAGGTAGTCTGGAGTCGGGAGGAGTTAATTTTTAGCATAGTACTGTCATTATAAATGCAGCACAAATATGGTGTATTTGATAGTAACAACCAGTGAAGAAATCTAGTCTTAAATCTTCTCAGTGCTGGGGAAAGCTGGGCAGTGTGTGGTTGTTTCCACCTGCTTGGGGTTGGCAGTAGGCACTAGATGAAGGAAATCAACTTCCATCTCTAGGACAAGTTCCAAAGAGCTTTGCCTTGTGTCACTGAAGTCCTTGCAGTCCTGCTTGTTACCATCATTATGCCCCCAAGTGCCCTGATGGAAAGGGAACCTGACAGGGTCTCGCCTGGAAGGGAACCAAAAACTGGTGACTAACAGTCAGGGGTGGAACATGAGGAATGCTGGTAGCATAAACCGCCCTCTTTTATCTTCTGAGACTTGCTCAGCTTGTCTCCTTTCCTTACCAGGTCCTACAAGAAATCACAGACCAGGATGCATCTGCAAGAATGCCAAGCATTGCCGCCTCCCTTGTCAGTGGAGATGAGGAGTCGCAAGAAAACCAACTGCCACTCTTCCAGAAGAAGAAGAGACTGCTTAGCAGTAAAATAAGCTTTTTTGCAGACTGCACCCCTGTCAGAGAGGAGGACAACTGAGGACGGAGGGATGTCCCCAGACTCTGATGTGATCACAGTTATTCCACACTGCCCTCATGCAACACTAGTGATTTTCAGATGACCCGAAAGTCTCAGCATAAGCCTTCCAACCATTGCAGGGAACATCCCACGGCTTGGCAGGGACATAGCCGAGCACTTCCTGTCCTGTTTGTCTTGACTTGTAAATATTTGTGTGTTGGGACCCAGGTGGGGAAGAGGCAGGGACACAGGCTATGCCAGAGGAGCTGGCTACTTGCCTGGAAAGTCTGTAGACAGCAGACTAGAAACATCAGGCAGAGTCACCTCCTGGCTCCACAAAAGGTGTTCATCCCTGTAGCCCTAGAACAGACGTCTGCTCCAGTAGTTGGGAAATGCTTTTCCCTTCAAAGGAGACCCAGGAGTTCCTGCCCAAGTTGGTTAGGAGAGCTGTAGTAGGGCTGTGTTTCAGAAAGACACTGCAATTATGCTAGCTAGTTAAGTACCTAGTTAGTACAGTACTTGAGATGATCAGTGTTTTTGTTTGCTGTAGCAAAGCACTGGCCCTTGTGCCCAAGTGGAAGAAACTTTTTCCACTTGCTTTTTATTTTTATTTTTATTTTTTAAATCTGTGAACGTGCTACAAATTTTAACTTGTATGTTAATAAAGGAAATGCTACAACTGGAGCCTGTGTGGTAAGTCACTTAGAGGTGAGGGCCAAACTGCTTCTGCAACCCTGCAAATGGGGGTGGGCACAGAGAGCATGTGACAGTCTGTAGGGTAACAAGCAGGTTGGCAGAACTGATCCCCATTCCAAGTTGCTGGGAGACGAGCCTCTGCCAGCTGCTGCCACCACTGGCAAAGCGGGAGCCTGCTCTGGAATCCCTTGGTGTGTGTTCGTTACCTTGAAGAGAAGGAAACGGAGTAGAATTTGGGGCCCCTGTTTCCTTGGGGATGCTCAGCCTAACAAAGTAAGAAAGGTGGGGTGACACTACTTGGTTAACTGTACCAGAATAAGGCAGGGGTAATGTGGCCGCAGCCAGATAGCCAATGTCAAGAGTGCTTTGTCAGAAAGATTTCCTTCCAGTAAGGTGGGTACTTGACCCCAAATGACTTGGCTGCCCAGACAGACCATTAGTGTCTGCTGGGGTGGGTGAAGTGTGGAGTAGCCTCAGAAGTGTCATAGGGAAAACATTAACCAGTGCAGCACAACATGCCAGTAGGCTTCTGTTCTGAAGATGCTGTGTGTGGAGCTCACTTGGTTGTTAGCACAGGCTGGGGTGTTCACACTTGGGGAGGATGAGAGTAGGGTGCATTTGCACCTTGTAGACTAGACCAGAGATGCACAGCATAAGCTTTCACTGGTTATTGTGAAGGGACTGCAAGAAGCAGAGCTGCTAAATAGAAAGTGATTAGAATACAAAGGATAGGGAGGTAGAGGAAACGGGACACTGCTGGGAGAGGCAACGTGGGTCAGAGAGGAAAAACAAAACGGGGTAAAAGCTACACCAGGTAATGGAATAAGAATCTCCTGTCTTGGTTTAGACCCTACTTTTATCATCCAGTCTGGGTGACTTCTTGTTCTGCAATTTTTCATTCAAGTTCATTTTTAAAGTATTGTCCAAGAACAGCCACTGAGGTCAGTGATGGAGCATGCAGGGACATTAAAGCATTCTGTCACAGCCTTGTGTATCCTGGAATTGATGTCAGATCAGTGTTTGTCCTTGTGTGTGTGCGGGCCGGGCGCGAGCCGGGCCCTTTTTTGTGCTCTGAGCGGGCTGGGGCCAGCAGCCCGGGCACGCGGGGTCGGAGAGGGCGCGTGTCAAGCTAGAATTAGGTACAGACTCATAGCGGTAGATTTAAAGATTGTTTACTTACACCGGAGATGGTCGTGGTGCAGGCTGGAAAACTTGCTTGAGTTGTGGTTACAGACAAAGACAACATGAACGATCACGTGGAGTTTGCTAGGCTCCACGGAAACAGAGCTCCGGATGCCCTGAGCAAGCGCGCCACCGAAATAGAAACTTCGTAGATACGTCTTATAAAATTATCGCTCAAAGACAGGAAGAGGTGGGCGATGGATCAGGTTGCCAAACTCCTCTGAATCTCACACAGGGTCTCTATTACCCTGCCGTGTACCCAGAGTCCCCACAAGATGGATGT